TTTCTTCCTCCCCAAAAACGGCAAAAACCCTCTTCATCTTCTTTATATATATTTTTTTTTACTGAATATTCTCCCTGAATGTTCAGTATCAATGTAACAGGGTCGATACTTGATGGAATGATGTACATTATGAATTTTGTTAAACAGCAAGGAGAGCAATAAAGAATTTTTGAATGTTAAAATTTTTTTTTTTTAAATATTCAATCAACTGAGACACATTTACTCTTTATGCAAGTGTAGCCGGAATGCTTCATCATTAAAGCTAGGAAACGTGCATCAGTCTGTAAATTGTAGAAATTATCCCCTTCTATTTGAATATTTGAATATTTGAAGACGTTTTTATCACATAAAATATAAAGTCTAGAAGACGTGGTATGATTACCAATGAGACAACTATACACCAGAGACCAAATGGCGTAGATGTGAGCGACTACAGGTAACCGTACGGTCTTAAACAATGAGCAAAACCCATACCGTCAAGTAAGCTATAAAAGGCCCCGACATAACAAAATATAAAACAATTCATACGAGAAAAACCGACGGCCTGATTTATATGCAAAACAATATACCTTTTATAAATAAAATAGGCAGAGATGAACCAATGAGAACCACTGAATTACAAGCTCCTAACTTGGGACAGCCAAATAAAAAGAATGTGGCGGGGTTAAACATGTGCTCATCCCTATCCTAACCTAAACATAACTCTTTATAAAAATCGAGCATATTAAACATCGACTTCTAAAGAAAACAAATACTTCATTTTGAATGACAAGTGCGTGTGACGTTATAAGATGAATTTATCAATATAAAAATGATTGTTAACGGAGAAAAATTCCATTGTTTTTCGCGAATACCATTGTTGTTTTGCAGGTATTTTAAGATTTTGAATAAGAGAATCTTCCAGTGATTTATTGTCCTGATTATAGATAGATATAAGAAGATGTGGTATGAGTGCCAATGAGACAACTCTCCATCCATGAAATAATTACTATTAGACGTTAAGCAAGCAACAAGCAATCAATCAAACGAATTAAGTCGTCGTCTTGGTAATTCCCTTAAGTGATATTAATAATTACATTTGAGGATTTGGCAAAATCAGTATAGCGATAATTTTTGTATCTTTTTGGACTTTTTACATCAATGAAATTACACGGATAAGGTAACTTGATGTAAATTTGTTGAGTGGATTTAATATGTAACATAATGAAATATTGCTTGTATACTCTGGTGTGGTTTTTTTTTACATTAAATATGGAAAATAAAGATAGGTCCGTGTGTTATTAAGTTGCAAATATTTGAAAGATTTACATTTTTTTAGATGTCTGGAATTTTTTTTTAAATAATGAGCAATAATGGGATTCTGGTTGTGTTTTGTTTTTTATTACTAGTATTTGTTGTTTGTTTTTTGATTTTATTTCTTTGTTTTTTTTTTTTGTTCTATTATTTTAATTCGATCTTCTTTTGTGCCTCTTAAATTTCTGTCCAATTTATACAAATATTGAAATAATATGTAATGTATGCATGCTCTTATTTATTGTATTGTTAATTATGTTAAATGGAAAAGACTTCATAAGTTTGGTTTGTGTCTTATCCAATTTGTGTTTATGTAAATAAAATATGTTTAAGCTAAACTGGGATTCTGATTAAATTTTTATTATATACCCACAGAAAAATCCAGAGGGTGAGAAATGTGAGAACGAAACATCCATAATTGATAAAGACTAGAGAACATATATTTGTCGCCAATTGGAATTCAAGAATGATTAAATACATATATTAAAATAAAATAAAAAGCCACTGAAAATTAAACCTTATTTTCTAAAGTTTGATTTAAGTCCTTAACTTTAACATTGAAGTAAAATGGAGTACTCGCATTACCATAAAATGTAGACATGAAACTCAATGGTAGTTTTTCTTTACCCAGATCTCTCTTGTTTATATCCATAGAGGAAATTAGCGTTGAGACTTCAGGTAGTAGCTGTTATATTTATGCACAACTTCTAGAGTAAAAGGGCGATTTAAAGGTTGGCGTAAGTTTCAGACTTGTGTCTATAGTAGAAGATAGTATCTTGACCTCTTGATGGCGTTTATTTTCGGGGGCTTCAGTAGCCAACTGGTCTAAGTAGTTCATCTACTTTGATAACGAACCCTGCACGTGACAGGTGCGTTCGACTATAATCTTAATCGGCTAGGATTGTCAGTTTTTCTACCCACCGAAGGTCGGTGGTTCTCTCTGGGCACCCCGGCGTCCTCCACCAATAAAAACTGACTGCCGTCATATAACCAATAGTGATGTGAGTAGCATTAAACACCAATTATCAATCAATCAATCATAAATGACATGGTAACTTGAGAGTAGAGGAATAAAAACTGTACCACACCCCTGTGCCCGGGTCACAGGAAATATGCTTTTGTTTTAATGTTCATCAAGTGCATATTTCTGTTCCATATACATTATGATATTAATCTTCTATCCTAATGGAGTATATCTTCGTGTAAATGATCCTCCTTCATCCTGTTAATATATGATAATCCGATGTGGTATGATTGCCTATGGGGTAACTATCTACCAAAGTTCAACGATGTAAACAACTGCTGGTCACCTAACAGTCTACAATATTGTGGGAGAGAAACGATTTGAATAGTTCAGGTTAAAATGATGCTAACGGTATACGTAGTAAATATACAACAACTGGAGTTAAGATCCTTGATTGAGACAGGAGCATAAAATATATTTATGAGCGGTCAACCCACGGTCTTCTTACCTCCGACAGAGGTTTACCAGCACAATATTAGGTCAAACTGTTAAAATCAGTTGAAAGCAAAAGCTTGACTCACCATATCGATGTGGAACAAGAAAGAAAGAAAACGTACAAAAAAAAGATCTACGAGTTATCGCAATTACTAAAAACGAGAACAAAGTCCAATTCCAATTGGATAGTAAGACAAGGTTAGTGCAATAAAAACGAGTATTTGTATTATTAAAGTCGTGACTGTTGTTTGGATTGTTAAAAGGAGTGAAGATAAATAAGAAGATGTGGTATAAGTGCCAATGAGACAACTCCCCATCCAAGTCACAATGTGTCAACAATTATAGATCAAAGTACGGCCTTCAACACGGAGCCTTGGCTCACACCGAACAGCAAGCTATAAAGGACCCCGAAAAGACTAGTGTAAAACAATTCAAACAGGAAAACCAACGGTCTAATCTATAAAAAAACGAGAAACGAAAAACACTTATGAACCACACCAACAAACGACAACCACTGAACAACAGGCTCCTGAACGGTTATTTCTCTTTATTTCAGATACTTCTGTGTATCTTATAATTATATGTAATTAAATATCTTTGATTGAAAAGAGAAGAGGGACTATGTCAATGCAAAAAAAAACAACAAAAATTTAAAACAAATTGGATATTAGCTTTCATGAGGTTAGTATATCCAGAAATGTTCCAATCTTGTTAAAGGCAAATACAAAAAACTAAGAATTACAAAGAAAAAAATCACTAAAGCAACATTAAAACCAGAAACACACAAAACTAATGATCAAAAGGAAATATACAAAACAAACAATGCACTCATCCGTCTTGGAGTACATAGTTTTAAATAGTTGTGATAGGCTTTGAACTAGCTTTGAGTATCTATGGTTACTGTTGTGTCTTTTGTCATTATGTTAGTTGTAATGTGCTTCGTGTCAAGCTGATGAGTCAAGCCATTTCCAACTGATTTTAATAGTTTGTTCTTATGTCGGGCTATTACGCCTCTGTCCCCAGTTTTGCGAGGGTTGATCGCTCACAAATATGTTGAACCCTATCTATTTCTATATGTACCTGTCCCTAGTCAGGACTATGTAATTATTTGGTTGTCGTTGGTTGCAGTCTGTCATATTTGTTTTTCATTCATTGTTTTGTCATAAATCAGGCCGTTAATTCTTTCGTTTGAGTCGTTTCACATTTCATATTCGTCATGTTGGGGCCTTTTATAGCTGACTATACGTTATGGGTTTTGCTCATGTAAAAGGCTGTACGGTAACCTATAGTTGCTCAAATTTAACTTCCTTTGGACTCAGTGGGATAGGTTTATTATTGGTAAACATATCTCATCTTTTTATCTAGATCATTTAAAAAAAAATCATCGAAGATACTCTTCATTAAAACTGGAAACACAGAAGACAATTAATAGCAAGGGAAGACATTTAATAAGACTGTGTGTTGACCTCGAGAGTCTTTAAGTTCTTTCTGTCGCTTGGGTGCTGTCACATTGGTAAATTACCATATCTTTAATTCGTGATAACAATATCCTTATGACTAGAAACACATATATCATGATACGGACTCTACCGGTAATAAAACATGTCCGTGCATATTTATTTAAATTAGAGCGTTATGTTTCTGATGACAACGTCGGCACTCAAATTTTCAAGGTTTGAAATGATCTTGCATTTAGTTAAAATTACATATATATGACAAATAGTTCCGTTGTTACACATTGATTATATTTACAGTTGTACTGTATTCATGTCATGTAACGGTGTCATTTTAGTGTTATATTTAACATTGCCATAAAAGTGCGAGGTTTGGCTAGCCACAAAACCAGGTTCAACCCACCATTTTTTTCTTAAAATGTCCTGTACCAAGTCAGGAAAATGGCCACTATTATATTATAGTTCGTTTCTGTGTGTGTTACATTTTAATGTTGTGTTTCTGTTGTGTCGTTGTTCTTCTCTTATATTTGATGTGTTTCCTTCAGTTTTAGTTTGTAAGCCGGATTTATTTTTTTTCTCAATCGATTTATGAATTTCGAACAGCGGTATACTACTGTTGCCTTTATTTACAGACGTTCTGTCTATAAATAGATTAACTGGTCTTTATTTATGAATATCCGCATCAATAATGGAAGAGAGGTACCGATACACTTAAACAGCATATCCCTACTTCCAATATCTGAATTCATCTAAGACATTTCAAAGTATTCCAGTGCAATTTGAAATAATATATATATAAGCAATAAATAATTTTATTGACAGTTTGAGCAAATCAATATCAAAAACATTTATATCATCTAAAAGTTGCTGTTAAATATGGCTTTGTCATTGTAGAGAATGGTGTTCCTATAGTCCCTGAATACAGATCATCTTGGTAAAAGAGCGACTCCTGGCGGCCATATTGGGGAGAAGGTTGAGCTATATCCATAAACGTACTGTTGTAACCGTTCACAGATAAATGACCATTTACTGAAAAAGATTTAAGAATCGAGGACTTAACAAATTAGTAAAATATATAATTGCTAAGATGTGAACTTCTAAAAAAAATAAATTTCAAACAATGACAGAAAGATCCCAACAACTGATGGTTTATGTGTCGCTGTATTTGTTGATCTTGAGTCCTTTTATTTGTTGTGAACAATTGGGAAAATTTTAAGATTAAAATTATAAAAATTTTGATCAACAACCCTTGTTTCATGCTCATCATTATCGGGGGACACTTTCACAGATCAAAATAACGATATATGGTATTATTTTTTAGTTCTGCGTATTATGTTTTTCTTTGTTCGTCATGCATTTTACATATACTGTTTCACGTTTTGTTTTCGTGTTTATTGTTTTAGTTTACAATAAATGTTAGTTTAAGGTTTTTTTCGGTCTATGTATTTCAGAATGTGGATTTAATATTTTTTTTTCATTACTGTATGTATTTGGTAAAAGTGAGGTGTTTTTCAGTAAATTTAACGATGTATATCAAGAAAAATTGTCTTTCGTATCACTGCCGAAATAGTATAAGTCTGAAAAGTACTTTTGGCATGACTGTACCTTGATTATAATCATGATGACTTCTATAGTATGGTCGATGTGATTCTAATGTGGCTCTGTTCAGAACGTCCTGGTAAGCGGCACCCCTTAGAAACGAGCCTTTGTTAAGAGTTTCATACGGAGTTGTTAGTTTGTTATAACTATACGGTGTATAATGATCGTGATAAGTATGTGGCCGACTGTCTGTTGTCCAGTACGCACTTGGGGGCTGGGGCATGCTAGCACTAAATGGAATATGACTAAATGACTGGGAATGTGAGTCCGTGTACGGCTGCATTCTAGTCGCTGTAAGACCACTGCCGGATCCTATTATGTCATTGTAAGAGTTCAGTCCATATTGAGATAAATAAGTAGGTCTGTCAAATGAAGCACTATTAAAAGGTGTATAATGTTTAAGTGGTGACAATGACAAGGACGGATTGGTTACATTTCCTCGACAAGACTCCTCGGCGAATGATAAAGCACATTGATCACGAATACTCGACGGAACTGGTCTAGAGAACGCTGTTCCAGCCATTGGCATGTAATTGTTATTATTTGGCAAGATGTGTCGGTTCTCATCCTGGCCTCTAATGTCAGCTTCATCTGAAATATGAAAACAGTCAATAATTGCATGTAAATATCAAAAGGTTAGGACTAGATGATAATGTAAAAAAAAATGAAATAAAAGGTACAAGAGGAAAAAAGAATTCTCATTAAGTACTCTGCTTTCCACAGCTTATAACTAAGGTTCCAACTCACTCAGGCAAAGCTGAACTTTGGCTACTTATGCCTATTTTATGTCTCATTTTTATGTCTCTTTTGGTTATATAGCTCCTCGTGTACATCCTTGGCTTTCAAATGTTTAAGTTTAAGCGTACCTGATTATGATCAATCCAGAAAAGCGCTTTAGACATACGAAAGAAGTAGTATTTTCATTTATAAAACAGAATATTGCCATGGAGGTCTCCAGTAAAAAAAACGGACTGTCATGACTTGTTCGACGTTATAGGAAATGGAGTTAAAACAAACTAACTTACCAAATATGTTCACAGATAAAGATATTATTATGCATATTTAGTGTGATAAATGTGATATATTTCTAAGAAAATATGTACCTGTGCTTTCATATTGCTCATCGCTGTGTTTACGCTTTCTATTCTTTGGTGAATGTTGCAGTTTAGATGAAGGTGTTCTGTGCTTCGCTTGCGTCTTTATTTCCTCTGAAAAATTTAAATACATAAAAGTTATTGTTGAGTATGTTAAAAATAATAAAGTTCGGCGTATATACTATTCATGGCGTGCTTTATGTAAAGCGTTTGGGTAAAGACAATACGAAAATAAAAAGATTGAAAAGTTATGGGATACATGTATTTGAAAGAATACAGAAAAAAACAACTACAGCAATAAAAAAAACCTCCCCAAATAATCTCTTAATAAGATATATGAAGATTTCCAAAATAATTACATAAAACATAATTAATGCATTAAAAATATCTGCATTTCTAAATACGTTCCGTGGAGCAAGCTATTTCTTTTAATCATTTGGGGGAAAAAAGTGTTTCCTACGTATAAAATTGAGAATGGAAATATAGTACGTATAAAAACGGCTATTTATCTTTGAAGACTTTTGAATGCTGTTGTTTTATTGGAATCTGTAAGTTACCATGCAACTACAGATAATATAACACATACCTGCATTCTTCATAATTCGTTTCAAATTTTTCTGCAGAACTTGATCTTTGGTTTGTTGTTGTTGAGTTTCCATGACAAGGAAGACATACTCGTCAAACATCAAACGAATTAAATGGAAAGATCCTGTAAACAAATTCTCATTAGTGTTGTAATTCAAATTCAAATGAAATTATTTGATGAGTGGAACATATCAGCTGAATAAGTGAACACAGTTTTCAATACAATCATTTGCATAAAGCTAGACATTTAATTAATAATCTAAACCTAGATGACAAGGGCGGAGTGAGCTCGCTCCACCTCAAACCCCAAAACTATAACTTTTTGGCAAATAATGAAATCACTCTGTTGACATACAACTAATAATTCATCTCTAGATGTCTTTTTTGTTTGTTTTCCTGTCATTATCTGTCTCTATGACGTATACTCACAACTACATTTATTCATGGCGATGTATGAGATACACTTACCGAAACTTGTAGCACTATGCAATGTCATATCTCTCATAAATAAAGAACTGAACACAGTCCACTGTAACAGAAACCTTGCTGCTTTGTCACGAAAAGTCAATTTACTGGATTTACCTGCCTGAAAAATATTAAAACATTATTGTTTTAATCGGACCTTGTAAGTTTGTCAATGAACCGTGAAAATATAAACCAAATCTTTACAAAAATTATAGAAAATAAAATATTTCGTTATCTTAAATATTCTTTGTAGATAATAAATATGAACACTGTTCAACGACAAATTCTCTTTTTTTCATTCCACATAAAGTAGCCTCAATTTTGACCTCTTTTTCTTGTTAATGATATCTCCAAATGTGGCTGATCACAGGATTGTTAGTTGACATGATCAAACACACGAGTGGCAAAAATGCAGCGCTGAGACTGGCAAACCTGCAGAAGCTTCTAATTTCTCAATGGTAATAGAATATTAAATAGAACTTTTCAGCCATTTAATTGAAATATGTATGACGTGTTTGAAGGATTGAAATCATTAATTTTTAACTGTAACTCATATGTATAAATGGTTGTATCCAGTAACGTGCATTGAAAGACACATGTATTCCGTATCTATGATATACATTTATTGATAATCACATCCACCAACTCTTACCTGTAAAACACATGTATCAATAATTGTATCCAGCCATTCAGTGTAACCTTCAATAGGGGCCTGTTTTGTTAGAAGATTCTGGAACTCATCAAAAACTGCAAGAAGACAAATTCTATTTTAAATGTGTTTGTTTAAACCAAAGAGACAGTCTAACCAGTAGGTAGAAGAAAAGATAATACCATGATCAAAGAGAAAAAAAGGATAAGACAGACAACACTCTTCAAAACACTACACACATCCAACATGTGGATCGGGATCTGAGTACCCGTTCGAGATCAACCCCGGATTTTGGTGAGGTATGTGTTGCTCAGTCTCAAGTTTTCCATGCAGTATTTTACAGACTGCTGTTTGCTTATTGGTTTTTGTGGGTTTATAGCCATGGATTGAACAATTTCTCTTCGACGAATGAATTTGCATTGTCCCTCTTGTATATTCCGCCTCTTTTTTACGCAGAAACATAAAGAATGAGCAACATGAAGTCAACAAAAGGCCAGTTCAACTCAGGGGATTCGAAACAATTAGGAGCTCTTGCTTCACTGGTGTTATCCATCGTGTTACTCATGTTGAAATCAGGTAAGTCATATAAAGATAAGGTGATGTGTGATGATTGCCAATGAGAAAACTTTCCACCAATGATCAAAGAAAAGGGATGTTAACCATAAATAAAGTAAATAATAAATAAATAAATATCTACAGTAATAATTTCACTGGTTGTTAAATAAGAAGATACAGAAACAGACATTGTATTATTAATGGGCTTGTTTTCATAATTATTCAATTGCACAATTTCCTTATTTCTCAGTACCTAAAATATTTGATTGCCAACATTAATATATCCTCATGTCATGGCTGCTATTTTCATGGTATCGTAAAAACAAGATTATGTACATATTTGTGGTAACTTTATTGTGTTTAATAGCTATCAAATAACTTTAAAATACTTGTAAAGTGAAGAAGACATTTACTAATATTGTTATTACGTTTGATAAAAAATCATCATAGATACATTTTGTAGTATGTTTGATGCCAGTAAAAATATTATCTTTTATATTTGATTTTTACTTCGTATTTGATTTGGCCTTCCAACTATTTGATTTGAGATCATCTTATGAGTCTATATAGACAAAATGCGCCTTTCGAGTACCAAATTATAGGCCTGGTACTTGTGAGTTTCTATAAAGGTAGATCATGAAACTGATTAAATTCAAACAATCTTATTGCGACTTACAGTCTTGTATGGATTCCCTGAATGTTTCTGTAGAATGTGGTTCTATAAATCCAGCTTGACAACATATCTCTAAAAAATTAATTTCCGCTATATCTTCTATCATCTGATTAGCTAAATCGTGATTCATCAAAACGCTCCTTGTTGTCTATGAAGAGAAAAATAATGAAGAGTTATTTCATAATAATCATCAACATACCTATAAACTTTTAAACATTGTCTATCTCATCAGAACATTGAATATAGCGTCACTGATTTGGACTTCGACCTGTTATGATTCGAGCGCCACTGTCTTATGTAGACAAAAAAAAACGAGCGTCTGGCGTACCAAATTATAATTCTGGCGTCTTTGGTGAGCTATCATGTGCGTAAATATGTATCATCATTTTCAAATACTTCTAAACATAGTTTATATTATTCAGTGTCTCGAAAGGACGCTCTCCCACAATTATGTTCATATTACGTTATTCTTTATATATTCTGTCTAACTTCAAGTCAATTGCTCTTTCGGTACCAAAATCTGATTTTAATTATTCATCAATATCTAAATAAGGAGGAGAGTGGCTCTTTTTATCATTAAAAATAGCAAACAAATAGGATGCCGCTCTATTCACTCTCCTTCGGGATGCTTGAAATTTAAAACTATCTTGGTAGTAATGTGACTTTGTCATGATATACATACTTGAGCTAACTGTATAAACGATATTTGTCTTTTGATGCTTTGTATAAATCCTTTTGTAACTGAAAAAAACAGTAAGAGTCATTGTATATAATTATAGTCTACATGGAAGTAGATTAACTGATCCTAACAATATACAGTTCAACGTTTGTAAAACTGGCTAATCCCCACCAGATGTTGTCCCCCTGTACCAAGTCTGGCTATCTGGACCATGTATTATTTGTTGTTTGATTGTCTTTGTTTGGACGTTTTTTTCTTTCTTTAAAGCTGGTGTACTGTCCATGTTTTTGTTATTCCTGTTATCCGTTTTATGTATATTTATGTTTAAAGCAAATATCACGGATTGGATTTGTTTTATTGGACTTAAAAAATGATCCGAACAATTCCAAGTACTTTACATCTTTCAAGTATACCATCTTTCATTTTACCATTCTTCCTCTCGAACACTGTTGTACCTACATCTTTCCACTATTATGCCTTATAAACTGTCGTGCATATTCCCTCATATGATGAAGTTGAACATTCATCTCATTTCCTATTACAGTCAAATTTGATATCTAACAACACATATGAATTTGTACGAGTTCTGATATTGATTTTTAGTATTTCAACATGTAACTTTTATCATCGAGACGATTGTTTCCACCTAAATAGTCTACAATCATACCTTCTATCTTTTTATTGAGCAAATGTTCTGGTGAGTCCTCTAAAGCATTTTCTATCCAGTATGGCAATTTCTTAACAAACATTTTCAATTCTGCAGCTAAACTGAAATATGGTTAAATCATAAAAGTTATTTTTTATATAGTAAAATTAGTAGAATTTAAGCCAAAACAATTTGAAGACTGCAAACACAGTTCCTGTTGTCCTTGTCATGACTTTTGATAAAGCACTTAACATGTGTGGGAAATAATTACTCAACATATTTCGTTTACTAGCAATTAAAAGGATAGACAAACATGAACAACACTATATAAAAAACAGTAAAATAACAAATATAGGGAATTCCAAGGAAAATTCAAAACAGATAGTCCATTATCAAATGGCAAAATCAAAAGCTCAAACACATCAAACGAATGGAAAACAACTGTCATATTCCTGACTCGGTACAGGCATTTCCTTATGTAGAAAATGGTGGATTAAACCTGGTTTTATAGCAAGCTAAACCTCTCGTTTGTATGATAGTTGCATAGAATTCCAGTATATTGACCACAATGTGTGAGTAAAACAAACAGACATAATAGGTAAAAATGTCAAAAATTGGGGAATTTGGTAAAAAGTTGTTAAACCGGTAGGTAATTCCCTCAAAGTACGAGAGTAACAAGCAAAAATAAAAAAATAGTCTTACACTCAAACATTGGTTAAGTTATGCAAATGAAAGGCTGTTGCCTTGTTTGTTGTTATATCAAAATTGAGAAAGGAAATGAGGAATGTGTGTCAAAGAGACAACAACCCGACCATAGAGCAGAAAACAGCCCAAGGCCACCAGTGGGCCTTCAACACAGCCAGAAAATCCTGGACCCCGGAGGCGGGCTTCCGCTGTCCCCTAAACAAAAATGTGTACTAGTTCGTGAAAATGGACGTCACACTAAACTCCAAAACATATAAATGAACTAAAATTAGAAAACATACAAGACTATCAAAGGCCAGAGGCTCCTGGTTTGGGACAGGCACAAAAATGCGGCGGGGTTAAACATGTTTTGTGAGATCTCAACCCTCCCCCTATTCTGTAATCTCTCGATTAATTTTGTTTTGATTAAGTAAGGCTTCACGTGTCGAACCAAATTTATGAAGTGATATTTTCATTTTCTAGCAATAGATCGATACCACTGCTGTTTGACTGCTCCTCCCCGAAATTATCATCAGCTTAGTAGTCAGTGCTTCGGTATTAACATGATTTATAGCACGACTTTCATAAATTAACCGTTGATGAATTTAGAAATTAGTATGAAACTAAGGTTTCAACTCATTATGGCAAAGTCGTCATTAGTTGGCTTTTGCTTTTCGTTTTGTGTCTTTGGTCATATAACTCCTCCAAAGTTTCAAGTTTTAATACATCCTTGGATTTCAAATGGTTTTAGGTTTAAGCGTTCTTGATGAAGCGTAATCCAGAAAAGCGCTTCGGACAAACCAAATATTTGAATTGTTATTTTTCATTTATAGGTAGTGTATTTAAACTACTACAACCTTACCTTTCAGGTAAATCTTGGATGGTTGTAGGAATAAGAACGTCTATCATAACCTGTTAAAATAAAGGAGAAGGTCCGGTAAGGGCAAATTTTGGCCTAAAATTTGAAGTACATCTGATGAAAGATTTTTGACATTTTTTAAATACTTAAGTGTCTACTTCAGTTAGTTTTTTGTAAAAGATTTGAACTGATTTGGTCATTAAAGACGCTCAAATTCAAGCTTAAATATGAAAAATCTATCAAATATGCCATAAAACGTCAATTTTTCAGATGTTTTTTGTCTAAAATGAAAGTGGCCGCATTTGTGTTCAGTCTCAACCTTTATATATGTTGTGTAATATCATAATATTATCAAGTACAACATATATTTAAATATTTAGACTGAACACAAGTGCGGCCACTTCAATTGTAGACAAAAAAACGTCTAGAAATTAGCACAAATGTTAAAATAGTAAAGATTTCAGTAATTTTGCATGAATTAATGATGCTAGTACCAGATGTATGTGCATTGCATTGTCATAAACTGCCAATATTTATGTAGCTAATTTAAAAGTATTCTACTTCCCAATAAATAGCTAAAAGTTTACATTTTAACAAATTTGTAAAAATGCTAAATTTTGGGACCAAAAGGGGGTCTTACCGGGCCTACTCTTTTAAAAGATTTTGTTTTAAAAATACAGTTACACTTCAAACAAAAGATTCATTGAATGAGTATCAAACGTCAAATATTATTTTGAATATATTCAAGTCAAATGGTGTAATATGAAGTACAGTATGTTGACCTGAATAAGTGACAAGAGTAGTTTACCAATATTCGTTACAATAATTTCAAATACAGCTGCAAAAATATGATTACTGTCGCTTAATTTCTTAAATTAGTATGTTCAAGAGGTCATTATCTTAACTGTCCTCGAACAGTTGATAATGTGTTTACAATCAACATGAAGTTTGCTTCATATTCAAATTTTCTTCCGATTTATCTATGAAAAAGCGACAATGCCCAGGACGTATCGAAAAAAATCACGATGTTTTGCAGAACAATGAAAATAAAAGATTTAATTTGACTAAATATCGTCTAAAAATCGTATCAGACAGATGGATTCTAACTCTCTATCTCCTGAGAAAAGATATAAGTTCACGCTTCACAGTTAAATTTGAAACTCTAATTGTCTAGAAAGAAGACATATCATACCACCTTGAATGGAATGGTAGAATCTACATATATTTAAGAAGTCTTACTCAAATGTAACCCGATTTTCTGCAAGACGAAAGACAACTTGCATTGATTTCCGTAGCAGTTATATACTTTTAATTCGCTTCACAAGTTGTGTGTGCATCATTATGACGTTTATGTGAATAATAAGATCATTGACGAATCGATACGAAAAAGTAATATTAAAAGGGTTCAAGTTCAGTCGCCTTCGTCAACTCTTACCTTGTACAGTATTGAATCGCATAACCCAATTATATCTGCGATCATACTAGCTTTTAAAATATCCAATAGATGCTCGGGCATTCCTTGCCAAAAATGTAATAAGAAGTTTTGCACCTGTAAATTAAAAAGTAAATCAAAAAGAATAGAGCATAATAAAATTCTGTTTTTGCCCAAGAAAAATATAATGTTTGAGAACTATTTAAAATTTCCTCATAATGTTTGGAAGTGCATAAGATCAAGAATAAAAAATGAATTTCACAAGATTTGTTATGTTACGACATCAAGTGCACAATTTCGCCAAACTATGCGCCTTTAAAATAGATTCAAAGAAAACAGCTCAATTTATGAAGTTTTCCATCCATATTTCCTTTGTGGAAACATCATGCTCAGCCAAGTAAAAGCACAATAATTTTAGGGAAGAAATTTGCGTAATGTTGAGTAAATATGGTTTTTGAGCGCTCCTGATGAGCGAAAACACTCGATTGTAAGCTAATTATATTTGATGAGTTTATTTTTACGTCTTTCTACTTCCCTTTTTGTTTTTGTAGCTCCACGTATATTTGATATAGTTTGTAATACATTGATTCATCCCAGTTATTTCTGCTAAAATGTTGCTCTAGTTATGTATAAGTGAAATGATGAGCACAAAAATAACCAACAGTACTTAAAAAACGTTTTGTATATATCTGTAGATATTTCTGTTTAAGTAAGTGTGAATTTATAAAACGTTAAGCAAGGTGAATTAAAACAATAAACCAATCAGATTTTGATTTCAGCGAATTTCAACTGAAAAATTATACGAACCTCATCAAAGTTTGCACTGATTACTGTGTCCAGAATTCTTTGACAATGTGTTCTATACATCAGGATAAAAGTGTACAGCTTCAAAAATAAGGGGGACAAAATTTCATAAAATGCATTGGCGTTTAAATTGTGCAACAACACATCTGTGTTCATGCTACACTAAATACTCTATTGTTTTTGCTTCAGCGTTCCTAGTAAAAGTAAATCCAGAAAAGTGCTTTTATGCTATACTAAATACTATGTTATTCTTTCAGCGTTCATAGTAAAAGTAAATCCAGAAAAATGCTTCGGACGCACGAAATGTACGGAGTGTTATTTTCGGTCTTTGTATTGATATATACATAGGTACCGATGTGTGCCATGTTATGGATTATGCTACAGAATTGCAATACAGAACTCGGTATGTTTGATTTACAAATAGTTTCACATTTCAACGTAAACTCTAACTGTGTATGATCTATATATTTTCTTTTCCAGATTGTTTTTTGTCATTCGATTTATTACAAATATATTCGTTCAACATAAAAGTACCATTGAATATTATTTGACGATAAAAATGTTTTTCATACATTCTAATAAATTGAAAATAACATTTGATTCGTGTTTATATTTTTTAACTGAATTTGATTTTGTGCTTTTTTTAGTTATGTTTTTTTTCTGTTATAACACACGTTCAAGCCGGTTGATAGGTCAGAAAAAAAACCTTTGTTTTTCGTTTAATGTTAAACTCAAAGTGTGACGTGAGTGAGAATTGTCTCTTCTTGATTGTTTCTTTTATTGTCTTAATTGCATGTCTTCTGGTGCAAGTAATTTTTGTTGGTGATTGATAAACACATGTTGCTCCATTTTACTAGGATATGTTTTTTCGAATGCAATCATAACCTCTTGTTTTGTTGCTGTTTCAATTTTGTGTCATATGACAAAGCGGTCATTCAAAATTCCATGCATGTTTTGACAAAAAGAAAGCAAGTTTAGAATTTGCTGTGTCGGTTTTCAGGGAGATGCTGAAATACAGTTCATATTCATATTTATTTTTGTTTATTTTCGTTGTTTGACTTTTTATTTCAATATTCAATTTTAAAAATGTCGTGTTATTATGTTAATCTTTTTAATCATTTTATTGTCGTTTTTGTCTGTTTTTTTTTCTTTTTCTACTTTCATTTTTGCTTTATTGTGACATTAAACTACCTTGTCCCGATCGACACCGTCTTCTACGATAAGATTGCTAGCATCAGGAAACTCTGGTAATAAAGTTCCAGTTTTTGAACTTAAAGAGTACTTCCTGTTTGACCCCTGTTACCGAATAAAACAAGTTAAAATATCAATTATATTTCAAATATAAGTATCAAATGTCATTGTATCTTTAGTATATATTTTAATCAATTTCGTATAAACTAAAAGGAAAGACATACATCAAAGATAAAAGATATATACTTTATTCGTGTGATTATAAAGGTAATGTAGCGGTTTAATGTGTCAGTATAAAGTAAACTTCATATAAATGTGTTATGATATATTGTAACTATATTTGCTTTAATTGTTGACATCAGGATTAAAAATGTTATCAATCTAGCGATATCGAACAGAAAATGATAACATTCTTCAGTCTCCCATACACAAATCATTTTCTTCGTTATCCAAGTACACCTTTCACATCTTAATGTGAATATTTATCAGCATCTTCGTAATTATGGCCAATATTCTTTAGAGTAGCACAGCTATGTAGAGAAAGGTGTCGTATCTCACGTGTGATTTGTTTGGTCATTTAATCTTACAATTTATCATCACAAGCGGACACGTTACAGAATTGTTCAAACATGGAGATAACTCTCTCACTCAGGGATGCTTCATATCTTTGAATCCTGTCTTTGTTGTCAAGTTGAGAACACTTACTTCACGAGATAATTAGAAGGACTTGAAATTCCACAAGATGTTTTAGGTTTGATATGAAGACGAGTATATTTATATATTACATTCCAAAATCTGATGCTTGCTGTGTAGTTATGTGGTCTTTTTGCAAGTACTTGAACATTTCCATCATCGATAAAGACTATAAAAATTACTTTACACACTTTCGTCTTCATTTTTTATGCCACAACAATTTTTCGTTTACATGAATTTTAAGTAAAATGTGGATTAACATGGAATTTGCTAATTTCATTTCTTATCTATAGAGTTTGGTTGATTTCAGATTACATATTTTTCTTTTCGTATTCATTTTTATCTAATTCGTGATAAAAGCAAAACGTCCAAATTAATCAACCAATCAGATTTATGAACACTTCAAAATTACAAATTGTGCATTTTGCGTGCTGAAATGTAAATATTCTAGAATGTTTAAATGACCTGATTAATATAATTGTTCATGCATTAAATATAAATCTAATGCCACTGTCAGGAATAAACTTAAGTCTAGGTGAAATTAAGAGATCTTTACTAGTGAAAATTTACTTGAATATTTGAAACAAACATACGATCTCTGTATACGATAACTCTAGATTATTATTATTTGAAATTCACCAAATATAAACCACCACACAAATAAGACTTTTACCTCTGTTTTTATCTTCACACCAGAAAATCTGCGAAAGAAATAAGAAATTGTATAAATATCTAACACTGTTGTTAAAAAATGTCAAACAACACGTTATAAATTGCATGCATCCGACGCACAAAAGCTCACAAAGTCGAATATTTTTAAGCAAATGGTGTAATAGGTCATCTTATTTTGAATGTATTATTTCTTTAAAAAAGTATTGACTAAGATGTATCTACCGTAACATATAACACATTCATATTTACTGAGCTTACAAATACCACAACAAGTTTCTAAGCTTACAAACTGCAACATAACTCATCCACAGTGACTGAGTTTACTAAAAAAAAAAAAAGAAAGAAAAAAACACACCCACACTTAATAGTCATATACGCTATTTTGTACATTCTCATGAACAAATCAAGATCAGTTGGAATTTCTCAAAACAATAAATGATTCAAAACTAAAAACAACAGACAGGTACACTATGTGTTTACGTCAATGACTATGTTTCACTCTTTTGACATTACACGACGTGAGGTGTAAGCTTATCAAGAGACGATTCCATATGCCCCTTGTTCTCTCTTTCACATCATACCACAACAAAGGGTAAGATATCATGCTAACCGTGTCCTTTAAATCGCCAACATGTGGTGCAAGGACATAAAGAGAATTCTTAACTGTCAAATTATTTTTTCTCTGTCTTTTCATATGATATGAAACCGGCATATCATGAAAAATTCATCCTGTTTACCTATTGTCACTTTTTTGACATACTCGCGCGGCGTGACATGTCATGATAGCATATATAAGTCATTTATTCTTTAAACACATTTGCTATCGCTTTACTGGTATCAGTGGTACTTTTAACCTAGCAAGAAATAGATTAGCTTGTCGACGCATCAATTTGCGATCATCTGGTATCACAAAACAACTGATGCTGGAATAGTACGAGAACCTTGCGATGCATCCGGTCTTGCTACTTTTTGATTTCATGCAATCCGGCAATTTTATGTTTTCTACCTTGATTTGTATCTCCTTAGTGGGTTTATGAGAAAAAAGTTAAATCAAAAAAATACTGAACTCCGAGGAAAATTCAAAACGGAGAGTCCCTAATCCAAATCAGGGGTATCCCGGAGAATATTCCGTAGAACACACAAATCAAATGCTACAGTGTTCCGTGCAGCAAAGGAGGACCTTGGTAACCCGGGCGACGTCCTAGCCGGTTTGTTCTTTGTATAATTTGAATTGGACATCATTAAACTACTATTGCCTAAGCGGTAAATCTGTTGATCCGTATGTTCTTACTGTTCGTTATTATTATTATTATTCCCTCGTCGTTAGGATTAGTTGATTATGCCATGCATTTTATATATTTGGTTTCATTATATAGTAGGTATTTTACTGATATGACTGGGGCTAGATAGACTAGATGCCACCTGCACAATATGTTGACGAAGATAAACCCACTTAAAAGCAATTTAAACCAATTTCTACTTATTCAAATTCAGATTAAACAGACAAGTTGTCAGAACTGTCGATAAGAGTACACGACTTCTTATTGATTTTTGACTAATTAGTAAATTTATTTTTCTTGTTTATGGTGTGTTTAGTGCAATCTGTCAACTAAAGACAGGCGATAACCGACCATAGTAAGAATATAAGCACTCGGTTATTATTGACTTGTGTTGAAAGCTTTTAACCTAGACTCTCGTGTGTCCAGATATGAGAAATAATTTCGATAATATGAAGTTTTAGAGTGTTCTTTAAACACAGCCAGGTGTGAATTTGTAGGGAACATTTAGGTTACAAGAAAATGCGTGGTATTGAGTTGATTATATTTATCTGTTATGTGTTTTGGTGTGTACATTTAACATTTTTCTCGCCTGATAGAGAGATTCTAACATAGTTTTATAAGATTATAATATGTTATTATAATTCACCTGTAATTATCACCTTTAACATAATCACATACCACAAACAAAATACTAAAACCATACAAGTTTTTTTAAGTTTAAAAAGATAGAATGTATATCTAAAGTATTTGTTAAAACAACTCTAAACCAAAATCATTTTATCCATTTTATGTATTTGCTAATTCTTAGATTCATACTTATCTGACTTATATAACTATTTGTCTCTAATACTTACCTTGTCAAACCTTTCCCTGCATAAACAGAGTGGTAATATATTGATGTCTCCTTAATACCTATGCCATAGTAGTGATACCTGGAATGATATATCGACAGTCTAGTATCATACCAATGCAATAGTATTGATACTTGGAATAATCTATGAAGTGAACTATAATACCAATACCATAGTAACGATACCTTGAATCATATATGGACAGTAGTTTAACATATTTTATTGTTCAAAATGACAAATGGATCAGACACAAGTTTTACAACTTAGTAACGTCTTCTCCAAAGAACACAAAATAAACACATTAATTAATGAACACATCAAATATTTCATACTAACAAATAATTTAAGAATAAAGGCATGAAAACAAAAGGAAACTTGTTGAAGCGAATCAATGGATTTTAATCGAGTGCATCTTTTTACAGTATAAATAAAACACGAACACACCGAACAGTGGACAGTATATCATTCCAATCATTAGGTAATAGTAATGAACCCTGGAATGATTCATGGGATGATCACGTCGTAGTAATGCTATATGGAATCATATCTGGACAGAACAAGACATATATATGATACCGTGAATAAAAGATAGACATAATTTTGCATAGTAATGATACCGTTCTTTTATAAGTACAGAGCTTTTAATCCCTCGGTCTTTGGTTTTTACCCTGGTTTGAATTTTCTTAATCGAACAGCGGTAAAAATGTGTAACAAAAATACCGAACTCCAATGTGAATTCGAAAAGGGGAAATCCATAAAAACTGACAAAACCAAAAGTTATCATTCAACGGAACGAGTGAAAAACAACCATCATATTCCTGACTTGGTACAGGCATAATGTTTAGTTACTACTGTTGCCTAAATTTTTAATACTATAGACAGTACTTTAATTTTTAGATGAAAAATATGTTAATTTAGATTAATTAAAAAATAATTTTCAAATCTCTATTACTCACTTGGATTGTCCACGAGTACCAAGACGCCTTGTTGTCAGCTTCGGAAACTTCTGTCGGATGAGCTGTAAACACAATATTGAGAACTTTTTTTAATCGGGCACGTCCTATTCTGTAACCTATATATAAATCAAAACTCAAAATATTATCCTGGCTTTTTTTAACCTTTTTTAAAACAATTTTGATTGAGTTCTTTTTTTTGTCTGAATTTCAATTGACACTCATATTTCAATTACATTTGAATCATATTAGACAGTTAATAAAAAAAATCGCCTCTTTTAGATAAATACAATAAAAAAAGAATTTCATAATCTTAACTTTTATGCAACAGAGGTAGTCAAAATAACCTAACGATGAAATAATAATATTATATATTAAAGCCTTCTGCACGATCTCTAAGTGGGAGAAATAAATCGAACAGAAAATGTTAGTTTCTACTATTGGGATGTTCGCTACTCCTGTCTTTATAAACAAAAAATCCGATAGTTTATGTAACCCCTCTTACCTTTAACATTAAAATATTTTGCTTTGACACTTATTTGCTGGCTATTCTGACAATAGCAAGTTTATTGTCCCCGGAGACACCAACTATTTCCCGACGTGATGGGAATAGTTGGTGCCGAATTGGACTGGGTGGGGTCAATAATGTTTGCTTCCAGTAAATAGTTTTTGAAACTTATAATCGGTTAATTGTCTTTTTACGGGAAAATGTTTGCTTTCAGTGTATAGTTTTTGAAACTTATAACCGGGTAATAGTCTTTTTTTTTCGGAAAATTGTTTGCTTCCAATATATAGTTCATAACCAGTAAATAGTTTTTGAAACTTATAACCGGGTAATAGTCTTTTTTTCGGAAAATTGTTTTCTTCCAATAAATAGTTCATACCCAGTAAGAAGTTTTTTGAAACTATCAACCGTTAAATTGTCTATTTAAAGACATTTTCGTAAAAATAAAATCAAAATTTATGAAAAATAGGTTATAGATCCGTCAGTAAAACAAATTAAATATGTAGACATTTTTCCGGAATTTTCCAGAATCTTGTATACTAGCGGAAAAAAAGAAACTGCCTCCTCAAAAAATTAAAAATTATTATGTGTTAAAATATTGTTGATATAATGGTTTTGAATATATCCGGTTATAATCAACTTCGCAGGTTTTTACATGATTTGCAATCTGCTTAAGACATAAACTTTATTCAATTATCTTACTTGCAAGCATATACAGTTAATGTTTGAAATTTTTGCCATGTATTGAGAAATGAAAATTTTCTTATTTCTGGTCGTATATTATCTGATGCATTCAGCAAATCATTTATAAATAAATAATTTGATAAATATTTGATTATATTATTTTATATAACAGCGCCCTCGTGGTAGTGTGCCGAGTCAACCAAAGACTGGTATAGTTATTAGCTTGTGTGCTAATTATGCGACATTGAGGAGTAAGAGCAGACTGGTCTGTTGAGAGTAAAAATAATGTGTACGGGTAGGATGACATGGTTTCCTGTGGACTGGGGGGAGGGGGGGGGGGGGTCAATAAACTTGCAATTGTTGTCCTAATAGCCAATAAGTGTTTTATCATAGAGAAAGTACGGGAAAAAATGTTTGCTTCCAGTAAATAGTTCATAACCAGTAAATATTTTTGAAACTTATAACCGGGTAATAGTCTTTTTTCGGAAAGTTGTTAGTTTCCAATAAATAGTTCATACCCAGTAAGTAGTTGTTTGAAACAATCAATCTGTTTAAGACATTTTCGTAAAAAGAGCAAATTTATTCGTCTATAAATGTATAAATAAAATACATACTAGTTGTGAGTTATAATTATAATAATTTATATTGTTTTGAAGGCTAACCACTCAGTAACTTGTATGGTAAAATATGTATTAAAATGTTTATGCCTTTCCATTCAATAAATATGAGACGCTTCCTTTTTTTTGACACTGTTTATTGACAATAATCATTCATGAAAATGTTATTTAAAAATTCAATAGCTTATTTAACAATTGAAATAATAAGGTTATTAATTTCGTATTTATTGAAAGTACATATATTATAGTCTTATTCAGATAAAAAATGTTGAATCATAAATAAAAAAATAATTTATGAAAAACAGGTTATAGATCCGTCAGTAAAACAAATTTAATGTGGAGACATTTTTCCTGAATTTTCCAGAATCGTATACACTAGAAAAAGAAACTACATTCTCAAAACGTTTAAAGTTATTATGTGTTAAAAAATCTTGTTGACATATTGCTTTTGGATATATTGTATTATATTCAACTCGGCACGATAGGTTTTTACTTGATTCTTCCAATCTTCAAAAGACATAAACTTTATTCAATTATCTAACTTGCAAGCATATAAAGTTAATGTTTGATTTTTTTGTGGAAGTGTCCCGTGTCGAACCAAAGACTTGAATAAAATTGAGAATGGAAATGGGGAATGTGTCAAAGAGACAACAACCCGACCATAGATCAGACAACAGCCGAAGGCCACCAATGGGTCTTCAATGCAGCGAGAAACTCCCGCACCCGGAGGCGTCCTTCAGCTGGCCCCTTAACAAATATGTATACTAGTTCAGTGATAATGGACGTCATACTAAACTCCAAATTTTACACAGGAAACTAAAATTGAAAATGATACAAGACTAACAAAGGCCAGAGGCTCCTGACTTGGGACAGGCGCAAAAATGCGGCGGGGTTAAACATGTTTTTTGAGATCTCAACCCTCTCCCTATACCTCTAGCCAATGTAGAAAAAACAACCGCACAACAGTACGCACAGTAAAACTCAGTATAAGAGAAGTCCGAGTCCGATGTCAGAATAGGAAACAAAAGAAAATAAACAAAATGACAATAATACATAAATAACAACAGACTACTAGCAGTTACTGACATGCCAGCTCCAGACCTCAATTAAACTGATTGCAAGATTATGTCTTCATCATATGAATATCAGGCACAATCCCTCCTGTTAGGGGTTTAGTATTATACCGTCATAAAATAAGAAGACTGATTTATGTTTTAGCTTGTGTCAATTATGCGACATTGAGAAAAATGAGTGTCTGTTCAGAGTAAAAATAATGTGTCCGGGTCGGATCACATGGCTTCTTGTAGACTGCTACCGTGTGAATTAGCACTTACAAATCTGTCTAAGTGTGTAGTTATACACTCGTCCATCATCATCATATAATTTTATACAATAAAATGCGGTTTATGATTATATTTATTCACTTTCAGATAAATGTTTATTTTTTTTTTAGATATGTTACAGAAAAGGAGATAGATAGTACATACAACAACATATCCAAATAAAGGTCAGAAATCAACATTTGTTCCTTAACAACTGTATATACATACCTTTCCAAATGTGGCTGCTCCCGCTGGAGTAAACTTGACTTTCTTACAGAAGTCGAGATAATGTGTATACAGAACACACCGAGGTAAACATACACCTTCGGCTCGTTCATAATTATCTGTTAACCTGAAAACAGTTTAAATAGTGTAAGGAGTATGGTCAATTATACCTCTGAATGTGTCAAAATCTGAAAGTTGATGAACCTCAGAAATTTTGAAATTAAAATAGTCTAATGAGTATGTATACTCTATACATTTTGCATGCACACATTTTCAATACATCCAAAAAACATCAGTGCCACACGTTCCTGTTAAAATATTTTGATGAAATATGACACATTTAACATGTATAAGAGTATGAAGCGGTAATACTGTAAATTATAGTTAAGACTGCAAAAACATTTTGAAAATGACCAAGTCTAAATACTTCATACTCTTGTTGGTGCAGAAAAGTTACATCCACTTCATTTTAACTTTGGAGGATAGTTGTCTCATTGGCAATCATACCACATCTCTTTATTTTTATATGGAGTGGTTTTATTGTTATTCTTCGTTTTACTCTTGCATGCTTCCTTTTACTTCCAAACTACTTTTCTATAGAGAATAATACGTTGCTGAATATTATATATTATTTATGCATATATTTTATGATAACTTAATTCATTCCACAAAAACGGTGTTAATATATTATAAAAGTTGGAATATCACCAATTGTAAAACAATATGGAGAACTATAGTATGTAATGTAATCAAGAAATCTGTGCGTGCAAAAGACATACAAATCTACAGACTTTCACGAGTAATATAATATAAGGTTGTATTTTTTTTTTGGTAGACAGTGAAACACGTAAACGAAAATGAATTCAATGAACTATTATCCTGACATGTGACGTACCATTTGAGGGTTGATGCCACCTGCGACTGTTTTTGTGTTGTCTGTTCAGAGGTAGTGTTATCGAATTCCTTTATATCTTCTTTAGAATTATTTTCCCATTCTGAAAATTAAAAAAAGGATGTTATTTAAATCATGTACAAAGTACAAAATTTAAAGAGAGAAAACTCAAATCGTAAGTCCAATATAAACGAACAACATCATTGCCAAAAATAAAAACTACGAAAGAACAAACAACAATAACATAACAACTAACGAGTGAACAACACGAACCCCGTCAAAATCCGGGTGTGAACTCAAGTGAACAATACGGTAAGCAATTCGTGCTCCACCGGTCACATACTAAATGTTCATGGATGTGAATTTTATTCATTTTCAAAATCATTTTGTATCGATAAAGTATCCGAATATATATATTTCTGTTTACAATTTATTTTTAGTTATATATTGATAAATTTTCGATTTCGACATTTTTACCACTATTCTGTTCGATATGTCAATGAGAGACAACAATCAAAAACAAGTACGTAGATCTTCGTCGATGGAAAGTGATACACTATTTGTATATATAGCGGTCGTCAAGATATAAAGGAAAATAAGACTTTATAAATTACGTGCGTAAATTAGACAAGACATGACAAAATACTTTATTTAACCTCAGACACAGAGGTTACAAGAAGACATATCATATACAAATAATATAAGAATAAGAAGATGTGCTTTGATTGTCAATGAGACAATTATCCAACAGTGTCCAAATGAAAGATAAGTAAGCAACCATAGGGAACCGTACGGCCTTCAACAATGAACAAAATCATATAGTAAGTATAACCATACTACAATAATGGTTAAATGGTCAAATACACTGAGAAATATAACAGGACATACTTATTATAATTCTAACATTTTACTTAAGAATAAATTTGCGACAAATAAATATAGAGTAAGTTTTTTTTTTTAAATATAGTTTAACTTTTATAGTATTCAACAGGACAAATTATCAAACTCTTTTTATTAATTTCCTGTTTGAACCATAAAACTTTTTAAACCCACAAATAGCTAATTTAAGTTGTCTTGAATCTAAATTGCATCGCATTTGTTTCCTTTTCAGGAAGTTTGTTGTTGTGTGTTAACATTGTTTCCTCGTTATCATGACTGGTATTTCCTATATTGATTGTTTTGTATCTTTGTTGGAACTGTTATCATTATAAAAACAAAATCATTAGTACTGTACACGTTTTCAATATTGAATTTATATCAATATTAGAAATAGAAGTAATATTCATTTGAATTATAACTATAATATTCCAATGAATTTTAGAAGAATGAATAGCTAACCAAGCCAGTCTTAAAAATAACTACTACGGCAGATTATGAGGAAGAACTACATTACTTTCCAACAAAAATTATTTCGGTTTTATATCTATTTTTTACAGTGAATTTTGTTATGCATGAAATAATCGGTGCTAAATTATCATGAATATAGTACGAAATCCGTGCAATTGTTTTAAAGTTTTTAAGATAGTCGTAAGACTATAAAAATTGGGAATAATAAGTCGAATAAAAATATGTAACAGTGTGGCTAAACAGCGGTCTCCAAAAACACCGCAAAGGACCTCCTTTGTGCAAAATGTAGCACAGAGAGCACAGAGGACATAAACGTGTTTACATAATGGGGAATATAGTCGTTTCATACGAAAACAATATATATTTTTATTAAAATGCTTTCTTTAAATCGGTAAGTTAAAGATTTACGAAATCGTGTTCCAAAATCGGTACGGATATGCATAAGAAGACATTTTCAAAATTTTCATCGGAGATTTAATTAAAAATGTATATATATAAATATAAATTAAAATATGAACATATCAATAAAGGTTGGACATTGAATAAAACAAAAATAAAGCAAACATTGTTTGTCAAAATATCTATTCCACAAATAATAACAATTGTATAACGAGAACTTGATACCCTTTGACAAGAACAAATAGAAATTCTTTGCAATTAATTATCAGTGTTAAAAAGTAATCTTTAAAAACAAGAAACCTGTTTTAAATACAATTATATGTATTAGATTAATATTTCTAAAATATTCAAGAAAACTTCAGACGCATGCAAAATATACAAGTTTTCTAAATATAGATCACACAAGCTGTGAACAAGACATTGTCTGTTAAACTAAAAAAAGACAGAAAAAGAAACCATTTTAACCAAAACTTATAAGAAAGTATTTTAATGTGTGAAATATGTTAAGACACAAATAGCAGAAAGTAAATTTCACGAATTTCTTGTTAAAATAATCATATTCATTACGATATCATATTTTCCTTTCAATTTCAATAAAAATCAAAACCAACAACCCAACAACACAAATCACCAAAATACAGCTGTCCATTATTTTGCCGTGTGTACTTTTTGTATCTCGCAGAAATTAAAGATTCGTAAGTAAACAAAATTTCAAAAGACACTTTATTTGCCAGAATCAAATTTGATAAAACAATAAAGTATATATTGACATACACGGTTTGCAAAATTTCATATTAATTTCATAGCTTTAGAATTACTGCCAAACCGATCCTTTTAGCGTCTTGTGAAAAAATGTCTTCAAAGCAATATAAATTTAAAATATTGCGCCATTGAAAGCATTAAATTTTATGTTAACGTTGCAATGTAAGACTGTTTGTATTACGACCAGTGACAAATATTTCAGAAATATTCAAAACGATGTCTAGGTCCAAATAATTAAAATATTAGTTGTTTTCACTGTCAAATACAAAAGTAAATTACAATATTTTAATTGTTTATAAAATATTCACAGCGTTGACAGATTCGGGAAGACTCATTGACGCATACTTAGTTTTGAAAATGCTCTATAGCTTAAAAACTTACAAAAAAAATTTATGAGTAATATCAGTAATAGTTAAAGATATTATTATCATTTATATTACTCTAATACTATGTATTAATTCACAAAGATAAGCTATCACATATTCCGGATATAAAATCAGTATATATATAAAAAAAAATCGCTATTTTTATGATATTTTTGGGTTTTTTTTTTTACATTTTTCTTCAGAAATTATATCATTTCCTTTCAAAAAAAAATGGAAGTTCCTTATAGCTCTTATTTAACTCCTTTGTGGTCCTTAGTGCTACATTGTGATCATTTGTTCACAAAGCAGGTCCTGTGTGTTGTTTTTAGAGACCCTCTAAACAGAACCAAAAATATGTTCATAGTAAACATTCTTTTAAATTTTCTGCCTAATTCTATGTTCATGTTCGCGTTTTGTAAGTAAACTGACATCTATTTGTTTATATTTCTAATTTATTGAAATAAATTTCTATGTGAAGGGGCTTTGCATAAAAATATTAATTTGTAGTAATGAACGTGTGAAAGAGGAGGTAGAATGAGAGTCCTTTTTAGAAATAAAAAAAAAAACAGAATCCATTTCATCACTTTAGAAATAAAAAAACAGAATCCATTTCATCACTTTAGAAATAAAAATACAGAATCCATTTCATTACTCTATTTAAGTCACTTCTAATGGAGAAAAAAGTAATATTCATTTCTAAAGATAGGAATAAAAACCAATGCTAATCTTAAACCCTTAAATAAAAGTTGTAGACCATCTAAGTTTTAGTTCTATCACATTATTTTGGTTTATATTTTAAATATTGTTTAAAATTCAATGTATATTCCTTCAGCTACAGAAAATCAACTCAAACATAGCAGGTACGTATATGTCGTCTTTGATGAATAAACACCTATTCTTGATATAAATAAACTTTTGTGGAATGAGAATATCTTTTATTTTTGGAATGCAAGGGCTGGTCCTATATATATATATAGCTACCTTCCACCTTCGTCATCGACCTTTCGCAATGGACGAATATTTGCATACATCATGCGTTGATTTTTTTCTTTGTAAAAATGAATAAAAAAGTATGAATAAGTAATTATAGAGATTCATAATTTTAATTTTCGTATTATGATAATTATAATTATTACTACAATAATTGTCCTGGCGATGGAAGATAACCACCTTTACATCTTTACCAATTTTGCTTTGACCTATATAAATACAAGTGGAAATTCAATCATAAATACTAAAATATACATTTTTGATATTGCAGAAAGTCTTTTACTGTTTCAATTTTATTTTTACACAATTTACCTTATTTTGATTGAGCAATTTTTTATTTTTAATTTTTGATTTGTCATATAGCTCCTAACTGACTTTGAGCTGAAAAATATTACAACAAGAGGTGTTCCTTTTTTTTTTCTTTTTCCTTTTTTTTTTTTTTATTTTGTCAAATTCTTCTATCGACATAAATTTGTCTTACGTTTTACATTATTATGATTAAAAGTTTGTTGTAAAACTATACGTTCTAGGAGTCAGAAAGTAATTTGAGCACAAGAACATACAAAGTAGATATCAATGTTCTCCTTTAATGTAGTTTGAATGATAGAACTGCAAAAAAAAACAAAATAACTCCAAGAAAATGGATCCGAGTCTTTCTTTTAATTTCCGATTATGCTAAGAACACCGAAATATTTTTTTTACTATTTTTATTTGATCAAAAGTTATTGTTCTTTTTTTCAGTTTAATTAGCCATATTTATATAGCCTTTATCGGAATTTTGTTAAATGAAAATGCTCGCAAATTTAAGAAAGTTTTGAGCGAAAATGGAGCTCTAACCCGAATTTAGATAAGGTAACATGAGAATGTTTCGATTTAACAATTTCACAAAAGGCGAAATGAAAATAACTCGAAGAATGTTTTCAAAACATTTTTTATGATAAATATAGAAATAAATGTGAAAATGCCACCGTTTTTACTTCCTAGCACTTGTCAATACAAATTCATAGTTTTGGATACCGAATGTTTCAGAAGGGTAGTTAAAAAATAGTTTGTTTCCATTGAAAATAAGGAAAATTAATAAATTCAACTTTGAGTTTCTACAAAACATTATTGTTCTCATTTGTTATTGGAAAATAGTTTGTTTTTCATTGGGGTTGACAAAAAGTATTTGTGCCGAGAACCTCATCCCTTAAAAAAATGAATGGTTGGTGCATTAGAAGTAGTGAAAGATCAGCGAAAA